TTATTAAGAAGAGGAGGGGGGGAGAGAACACCCACTAGATTTCTTCCTGCTCAGGGGAGCACATCAGAATTACCACAAGCAGTGGAACGAAAGGCTTGGGGAAATTGCAACACTTCCTCCATTGGTGAAGAGCTTAGAAAGCCATCCTACAGAATAATCAAGGCATAGGCAAACTTGGCCCTCCAGATGTTTTGGGACTAAAACTCCCATCATCCCTGACCACTGGTCCTGTTAGCTAGGAATGATGGGAGCTGTAGTCCTAAAACATCTGGAGGGCCGAGTTTGCCTATGCCTGGAATAAATCCTACTACGCAAGTGCAATAAATTTGACTATCAAGGAATTTTTAAAACACACACACACACACACACACACACACACACACACACACACAGAGAATATGCCTTGGAACAACACCATAAAGACAAAGTATTACAGCATATGCTTTCATGAAGTAAAGTCCACATCATCAGATGTGTACATACTGGCTACAATTGGTAGAGTTTTAGAAACACACAGCTGTCAAGAAACACTTGCCCAAAAGGGCTTGAAGTGCAATATGTATATCTTTGGCCTTTCAATATAAAACTCAAAATGTTTACATGGCAGGTCCAGTGGCCATTCACTACTGCAATAACTGGCAATCATTTTTAATATGTTCTCACACACTTCTGCTGTTTCCAGTGTGTTGTTATGTAGATCAGTGTTCTTCGATCTTGGACCCCAGATGTGGTTGGACTACAACTCCCATAATCCATCACCACTGGCAAAGTTGGCTATAGAGGAGAAAGGTGCTTTTCAACTTATCCATAAATGATCTAGAACATGGGTGGGCAAACTAAGGCCTGGGGGCTGGATCTGGCCCAATCGCCTTCTAAATCCGGCCCGCAGATGGTCCAGTAGAATGTGTCCCTTTATTTAAAATGCATCTCTGGGTTATTTGTGGGGCCTGTTTGGTGTTTTTACATGAGCAGAATGTGTGCTTTTATTTAAAAAGCATCTCTGGGTTATTTGTGGGGCATAGGAATTCATTCATTTCTCCCCCCCACAAAATATTGTCCGGCCCCCCACAAGGCCTGAGGGACACTTGACCAGCCCTCTGCTGAAAAAGTTTGCTGACCCCTGATCTAGAGTTATTAGTGAGCAGTGAGGTACTGCTGACAATATTGTTCAGGGTTGTTAAAACAAAATGAGATTGTGGAGAGGTCCGAAGGGATATTTCCAAACTAAGTGAATGGGTGGTAAATGGTAAAAGAAATTCAGTGTAAACAAATATAAAGTGATGCATGGCTGTGGGGAAAAAGAAAAACAAAAACACCCACTCATAATTTCACAGATATGCTCATGGGGTCTGGACTGGTGGTGACAGACTAGAAAAGAGACCTTGGGGTCATAGGGTGTAGCTTGATGAGTATGTTGACGCAGTGTGCGACAGCTGTGAAATAAGACAAATTCCATGCCATGGCTCATTAGGAAAGGAATTGAAAATAAATCTATTATAATAATGCTGTTTCACAAATCTATGGTGAAATCACAATGGGAATCCTCTCTACACTTCTGGTCACATCACCTCAAAAAAGTTATTGTAGGATTGGGAATGGTTCAGAAAAGGGCAGCCCAAATGATCACAGGGATGGAACAATTCTAAAAATCTATCAGGAAAGATTGGAGCATTGGGGGCTTTTTAGAGAAAAGGTAAGAGAAACTTATAAAGTTCTGCACGGCATGGAGAAAGGAGACAGAGAAAAGCTTTTCTCCCTCTGCCGTTACACTAGAACTTGTGAATATTCAAAGAAGCTGAATGTTAAAAGATTCAGAAGAGATAAAAGAAAGTACTTCTTTGTGCAGCGCATTGTTAGACTGTGGAACTTGCTCCCACAGAAGGCAGCGATGGTCACTGGCTTGGATGGCTTTAAAAGAGGATTAGACAAATTCATGGAGGAGATGGCTATCAGTGGCAACTAGGCATGGAGGCTGTGCTCTACCTCCACAATTGGAGGCAGCAATGCTTCTGAATGTCAGTTGCTGGAAACCACAGGAGGGGAGAGTTGCTCTTGTGCTTGTATCCTACTTGCTGGTTCCACACAGGCATCTCATTGTGAGAACAGGATGCTGGACCAGATGGGCCATTGACCTGATCCAGCAACTCTTCTTATGCTCTTATGATGAGAGTTGTAGTCCAACCACATCTGGAGACTCAACATTGAAGCACATCCATCCTTTGTAAAACGTATCTACCTCAGAGGTAAGGAATCACGCGCCCCCCTTCCAGATGTTTCTGGTCAATCATTTTTGCTTACCACTGGCCAAGACTGATGGGGATGAAGGAAACTGGAGTCCAACATTTGAAGGACCAGTTTCACTATCCCTGATCTATAGAAGCAACCTGCTTTTCATTACACAATAATCAATCCATTTCCAAATCCGTAAAGGGCAATAAACTAGACTCAACTGCATACTTTCAGATTAGATAGGCTGAAATCTCTAAATGAAAGCTCTGAGTGGACATCTACTTGGGAGTTCATTGTTAAAATGAGATTTGAACTGGAAAGCACCTAGGTCCCATTCTAGAACGTAATCCCTTCCAGCACCCTAACCCTTCACTAAATGACTGCCAAAGGAAAAAGATCCCACTATGCTTCTTGAAAGATATTCCACTTCAGATTTTGGCACACCACCGGAAGACAGAATATAGGTAGCACTTCTACTCCCGAAAGTAAAACTGAGTTCAGTTTAACATGCTAATACACCACAAAATTTTATAGCCTTATTATTTTTTAGAATTTTTTGTATAAAGGAATGAATAAATGATATGACATAGTCACAAAAATGCCTGAAAGAAGATTATATATAGTCCCATCAGCATTTAGATGAACTCAGTCCAACATATTCCCATAGGACTTTTTCAGAAGTGTGCATAGGGCTGCAGCCTAAGTGACAAGTTAATATTTTTTTATATAACTGCAATGACTTCCTCCAGAGAGTCCTGGGAACTGTAGTTTGGTGAGGTATTCATAGTTCTGTATTACACATGTCTGTCTACTCTAGCCTCTCTCACAAAACTACAATTTCCAGAATTCTCTAGAGGAAGGAGTGGACTATTAAACCAATGAAAGTCTGTATTGTAAATATATCCTTAGCATACTGGAGAAAAATCACTTATGTCCACTTGGAGAGAGACAGCAGGTTAACACAGTCATTTGCTCCTGTCACCTGACAAAAATGTTTCAAAGCAAAATGGAATAAACAATACTTTTAACTCCACAACAAAGTGCAAATGGAAGAAGAGAAAGAAAATAGGATCCTTTCCAAAATAAAGGTTCAGGTAAATAGCAAAGATGCTATACAATTAACACAAAACATGAACCATTTTCAAAAAAAATCAGCTACTAAATAGAAATCTAATGGACAACACATACACAGCCCATCATGTAAACCCATTTTGTGTTCACTGTTTAAACAAACGTTTTAAAAATATACATAACCACATAAGAAAATACTAGTAATGAAGACTATAGAAGCAATGAAAAGCTATTTACACTGCTACTGGAAATTAGAACTGTGTGCCAGACAACTTATTCAGGGGGGGAAAGAGCTGCTTTAAGATTTGAATTGTTTTGATTACCCATTCCAAAAGCACTATCGACAAAGAAACTGGCCACTAAGAATTTTCAATCTTGCAGAACATATCTGCAAAATCTTGGCTGAGAATAGCAGTGCCCTGCAAATCAGCCTATAAACAAGTCCACAAACTTACTAGCCAGCAAGCCTTTTTAGTAGACCACTGAAGGCTGGCTGATAAAGGGTGGAGCTGATGGCAAAGAAACCAGGATGAAATATTGAGGACAGGAAATGGGGGTGGGGAGGCCACAGTTCCCCACATGCCACATCCAGTATCTCTCTGAAAACACCTCTCCGTTTGAAAGACTTGCCCCTTCCTGTATTGGTCATTTCTCTCTCTCACTTAACACACAATAAGTTCTCCTGGACAGCTTCACCCGTAGTGCTGTGTGACTTCCATTTCAGGACTAGTATGTCCCTAGCCATGTCACTATCAAGTTATTCAGGGGTTATTCTGCAAACTATCTAGGGTTAGCACAGAACATGCAAGGCTCACTTTAAGATCAGACAACACACTTCCCAGATTCAAAGGAAAATTGGCCTTTATTCTCTTTTCCCAAACCAAACGAACCCTATCCCACATGACTCATGGACACACATATGATCACTACTACTACCATTATTATGTATACCACCCTTCACCTGCAGATCTCTGGGCAACATAAAAATACGAGATTTAAAAAGATAACAAAAACAAGATCAAATCCAATAACCCCCCCCTCTTTTTCATCTCCTCACCGTCCCACCCCCTTCCATCCCACCCCCCTCCTCCATCCCGCCCCACATTCCCTCTGCAGGAATCTTAACTGCAAGCCCCTCGCAGGCAGGGACCTCCCCTTTTTTCCTTCTGCTTATGCACGGCGCTGCACAAACGAATCTCGCGCGAGAGGGGAGGAAAGGGGCAGGAATAAGAAGGGCGGCCGCCGCCTCCCCCCTCCCACCGCAAACACACACACACACATGACGCAAAACCTGGGAACTGGGGTGGGAGGCCGTATCCCTCCTACCCCCCCGTTGCCCTCCAAATAACATCCCAAACTGGGGGAGGAGGAAAAGGAGATTCCCATTGCGAGTGGGAGGGGCCTGATGAGGAATAGGAGTGGGGGGGGGTTAATGGAGAAGAGAGATGCCGCCTCTCCCCCCCCCAAGATAAGGGGCCGCCCCCTCGTGGGGTCCCCTGAGGAAGGGGGGAAGCCTCCCCCTGCTGTGGAGATGGACGGGGTCGGGCCCTGCTTTGTGGTGGAAGAGGAGGGGGCGGAAATAAAGGCCTCCCGAGGTAGTTTGTTGGGGGGGGACAGGGACTCGAAGCCCCCCCCCAGGTTCCCAGCGAGCGCTCCCCCCCCCCACGGCGCGGCCCTGAGGAGAAAGGGGAGGCCCTCACCCTGCTCGCCGGGCTCCTGCGGCGCCTGCAGGACCCGCTCCAGCTCCGGGAAGGGCAGCTCGGGCAGGTCGAGGAGGGCTCCGTATCTCTCCAGGAAGGAGCACACGACGGCGAAGTTGGGCCACGAGCCGGGGCAGGACGGGCCCTCCGTCGGCGCGGCGGCAGGGGGAGGAGGAGGCGGAGGAGGAGGGGATGGGGGAGCCGCCGCCGCCGCCGCCGCCATCTTGGAACCTGAGAGGATGGATGGAGAAGGAGAAGGGAGGGGGGACAGAGAGAGGGGAGGAGCGAAGGAGGCCGGCAGGGGGCGCTGCGGGCGGAGCGCGCCATCCCGGCATGCGCCGCGCGGAGGAGACGAGACGGTGCGCTCCAAGAGAAGGAGGACGCTGGGGGAAAGAGCGGCCCGGGCCCCTTCTAGGAAACCCGCGCTTGTTGTTTTCCCTGTGGCTGAGGGAACGCAGGAACCAAAACGAGGCTGCCGAGGGGGCGGGCTGCCGGGGTTGGAGAGGGAGGGCGGGCGAGAGAGGAGCGGGGGCGGGGATAGAACGCCGCCCCGGCCAATCGCGGCGGAGGCTTGGGAAAGGTGTGTGGCGGCCATAATAATAATAATAAAAAGGAGGGGGGGGAGGAAAGCGGCTGTATCTCCTCAGAAAAGGGGGCGTGGCCGAAGGGGAGAAGTGGGCGTGAGGAAGCTTGTCAGTGGGCGCGGGCCGTGTCTGTATAGCGGCTGCGTCCAATGACGGGCAGGAGAGGGCGCGTCCCGCCAGGGTAAGGCGGGGAGGGGAGGAAAGGCAGGTTGTTGGTCAGCGCAGGTAAGGTTTGGAGGGGAGCGGACTGGACCACTGTGTGCGGGGGGTGGGGGGTGAAATTACCGCTGGCGCTGCAGTGAGAGTGGTTCTGCGGGAGGATAAATGGGACGGCTCATTTCCATGCACCCCTTTGGTGTTCGGAGGGAGGATTTAATGGGATATTTACCTGAGATCTCGCGGGGGGCGGGGCGTGGAGAAACCTCTCGATTCATAACTTCGCTTAATTCTTTGTAAAGCGCTTTGTGGCACCTCAAAGACAAACATAAATAAGACTTAGAGAGTTAGTCTATATTGCTGCTATTATTATTATTATTATTATTATTATTATTATTATTATTTTCTTGAATTTTTCTGCGAGTTTTTCTTGATTTTGTCTGTTTTCTCTTTTGTAAACCACTCTGAAGTATTTTTTTTAAAAGGTGGCGTATACATTTTGTGAATGAACAAATAAATATTTGTTTAAATTTAAATTTAGATAAATAAATATTTATACACTGCCTTTCCCCGCCCCCCACAACAGGGAACCAAGGCGGCTTACAGGCAAAAATAAGAACCACTACAAATTTCGGCAAAAAACAATCTTAACATTGATAGGACTAGTGATGTTAAATTCTCGAGAATAATCATTTGGAGAATATTCTTGAGAATATTCTCAGTTAATGAGGTGTGTACATTTAAAGCAGCTGTGTAGACAACACAGAATTTACAATTTGTGGAGAATATTCTCCGGAGAATTTTCTAGCAGAGAATATTCTCACCTCACATCACTAGATAGGTTTTTGTGTGTATAAATGGTTTTAGTCCTATCAAAACCATACAAACGATCACAGCAAAAACAGCATGGCACAAGCCCTTTCTTTAAAAGCACTCAGTTCCCCAAAGCCTCTTGGGACAAGAAATTCTCCACCTGCTAGCAGAAGTATAGCAAGGAGGGAGGCAGTCTTATCATAGTTAAGGAAGAAGCTTCCAAAGTCTGGGAGCAGCCACAGAGAAGGCCCTTTTCCCTCTCCACAACTGCTCAAAGCCATCTTTCTTTTATACATGGAAAAGAAAATGGCAAAGAGGCTTGCATCACTAACAAACTTCAAAATAAAAATTCCTTCCAGTAGCACCTTAGAGACCAACTACTGTAGTTTGTAATTGGTATGAGCTTTCATGTGCATGCACACTTCTTCAGATACCAAAGCTCATACCAATAACAAACTTAGTTGGTCTGTAAGGTGCTACTGGAAGGAATTTTTTTATTTTGTTTCGACTACGGCAGACCAGCACGGCTACCTACCTGTAACAAACTTCAAGCCACACTTCAGAAAATAGATAACTATGGACTAAGTCTTGCTGAACTTCTGAGTAAACACACTCAGGGTTACGCCATGTGACTTCATAGTAAGCTTTGTGGCACCTCTTAAAGGTTATCACATTTTATTGTGGGCCAGAGTCCACTTCAATAGAAGCGTTATCCTCGATAGGTGCATATATGTAAACTTTACTCTGTGCATCCGAAGCTTCTATCACCATAATGGTTAATCTGTAAAAGGTTTTCACATCTCAGTGGCCCATAGAACTGGACTACTTGAAATAAGGTGAGCTTTTGTTCATATAATTTTAAAACTCTAATTTGAGTCCGGCAATTTTATCTGTTTAAATATAATAAATAATAATTTATTATTTCTACCCTGCCCATCTGGCTGGGTTTCCCCAGCCACTGGGTGGCTTCCAACAGAAGGTTAAAAAGACATTAAAGCATTAGTCGTTAAAAACTTTCTTAAACAGGGCTTCCTTCCCTAAACCTCGCAGAAACCTCAGTTGGTCCAAAATGCAGCAGCCAGATCACTGGCTGGGGTTCCGTTTAGATCTCATGTAACCTCAGTTTTAAAACAGCTATACTGGTTGCTAATTCATTTCCGGGCCCAATTTAAGGTGCTCAGGTTTGTGTTTAAAGCCCCAAATGACTCAAGCCGTAAATGATTGAAAGGCCACCTCCTTCCCTACAGTCCCTCATGGGTGCTGAAATTGTCAGAGGGGCCCCTCTTGGTAGTCCCTCTACCCTCGGAGGCGTTGGGGGATGACGGTCTGTGTGAGGGCCTTCTCTGTGGTGGCCCCTAAGCTGTGGAACTCCCCATTGAGGTGTGTCTGGCACCTTCATAATGCAGCTTCCAGCGAATGCTGAGATGCACCGCTTTACCCTGGTTTTTGACACTCGAGGTGTATATTTTTAAGGACCCACCTTATTCTACGGGTTATAGGGCGGCATATAAATTTAATAAATAAATAAAATAAAAAATAAATTCTTATGATTGAAAGTTATTTAACCCAACCTGGAACCTTAGGGTGAAGGATGGGTAATTATTGATAATAACAATAGGGATATTGGCGTTCTTATGTTCATATTTTGTGTACCAATCGTACTACGAAATGTGTAAGTTCTAATTGCATTTGGTGGTTTTATCCGTGTAGTTGTGTTTATGCATGTTTCAGGGGTGCCATCTCGCCCTCAGGATTGTGGGTACCCACTGCCACAATGCGGACATGCAACATCAAGAGACTGCCTCTGCATGTGAACCACACACCCCAGAAAAGGGTGCTTTGCTGGCTGGCTGCAGAGGGTGGAACTGAATTGCTTCTCTCTCAGAGGCAGTCCTGCTGCCGCCTGCCGGCTTTTCTCATTGACTCTGTGGGTGCCCAGCCCCCACAATTATATTATTTTGGGTGCCCAAGCATCCACAGACCCCTGTAGTTGGCTCCTATGGCATGTTCTGATGTAAATAAATATCTTCTCTATCTAGAACTGGTCCTTAAGAAAGGCCCCTTCAGTCTGTTTGATTAAAAGGAGGGTAGAATGTTGGGACGCGGGTGGCGCTGTGGGTAAAAGCCTCAGCGCCTAGGGCTTGCCGATCGAAAGGCTGGCGGTTCGAATCCCCGCAGCGGGGTGCGCTCCCGTCGTTCGGTCCCAGCGCCTGCCAACCTAGCAGTTCGAAAGCACCTCCGGGTGCAAGTAGATAAATAGGGACCGCTTACTAGCGGGAAGGTAAACGGCGTTCCGTGTGCTGCGCTGGCTCGCCAGATGCAGCTTGTCATGCTGGCCACGTGACCTGGAAGTGTCTCCGGACAGCGCTGGCCCCCGGCCTCTTGAGTGAGATGGGCGCACAACCCTAGAGTCTGGCAAGACTGGCCCGTACGGGCAGGGGTACCTTTACCTTTACCTTTAGAATGTTCTTGCACTGCTTCTGATACTCTGTGCAAAGGGCGTGCAGCAGTGGTGCCAAAGGTGTGGTCTATTTGCCAGCCTTTCTTATTTTAATTTATATCCTATCTTTTGGTTATGGACATGGTTTTCCCGTTCTCAGTCTACAGGAAATGACAGTTTGTTACTTTGTGAGTGACCCGCAATGAACCTTGGGCTTTTGCATGCTTGTACAGTGGTACCTCGAGTTAAGTACTTAATTCGTTCTGGAGGCCGTTCTTAACCTGAAACTGTTCTTAACCTGAAGCACCACTTTAGCTATCGGAGCCTCCTGCTGCTGCCGTGCTGCCGGAGCACGATTTCTGTTCTCATCCTGAAGCAAAGTTCTTAACACAAGGTACTATTTCTGGGTTAGCGGAGTCTGTAACCTGAAGCGTCTGTAACCCCAGGTACCACTGTATTCTCCTTCTCTTCTTTCGCACATTGGATGTGAGAGACCACAAATGCCCTATTCTGGTTTTAATCAAATCACAATTGCCCTTGACACCCAAACACAGGAAACTGTGCTTTACATAAAGCTGATTTGGTTAGAACAAATCACATTTGATTGGTGGTTTCAGATCTTGGTTGGTAAACAACTCACAGTTTCCTGAGTTTGGATGTCACAGGGAACTGTGGTTAGTTTGACATCATAAGCAGAAACCCTCAATCTCTTCCTGCTGTTGTGCAGTGGGGAACACATTTTCCTAGGCTTGAAACGACTTGTTCACAGAGCAGGAAACTACTACGCTAAACCACAACAGAACGTTAAAACAGCAACTTAAAAACCCTGCGTGAATTTAAAAGTCTTTACCTGGCTCCAGAAAGGTGATCAAGAGTGCACCAACGGAGCTGGAACCCATAGCAACGCACCTCATTACACAGGAGCAACATTTGGAGCAATTCCTCCAAAGAGGATCTTAAGGTTCGGGTTGACATAAGCAGAAAGAGGCACCATTTCAGATAACTTGATCCTGAGCCGTTTAAGGCCTTACAGGGTGAATAGGAAACCTCCTTCAGCAATGAGGGCTGCATTCCTTTCTGAGCAGCCTTGCAGAGGCTAAAGTGAGGTTAAAGTGGGTGGTGCAATGAATGTAAATTTTGCTTTGCTTCTGAAATGGATGTGTGAGAAGAAGGCCTTTCAATTGGGTCAAGAAATGGACTTTTATACTCTTCCAGTCCTAGTTTGAACCAGCAGCAGTTTCCGGACCTTTTCCAATACTAAACCATAGTTTCCAGTTGCACCTCTACTAAAAAAAGAATGTTGTTGTTTTGAATTAAAGCTTAGCTGTTATCCCTGCTCTTTTGCCACCAAACATGTGTCTTTTTAAAAAAAAGATTGTTACATTCTGCTTTTGTGTCCACAGGATTAAGCATGCACCCTAATGGGGGGCCACTGATGGTTCTTGCTCATTAATTTGGCAGCGTGGGGGGAAGAGCAAGGGAAAATACACTTTTCTCATGCTGGGTGGGCAGGCAATCTTTGATGCGTCCAGACCCTTAGCGCTGATTCTTCTTGGCTTGGCATTTTAAAGCAGCGTGTTGGAGTCTTCTCTTGGTGATAAGGCGGGGAGGGAGGTTGAAAGGTTAGCCTTGCGTTATTTGATCCTTTGTGCCCCTGTCAGCAGGCATTCCTGCTGGGGGAAAAATATCTGTTAATCCAAGACTTCACTTATATATGAAGGAAGAGAGGGAGGTGAGTTGTTGTTGTTTTATTGGCGGCAGTGATCTCCTTGCAAAGGATTTATCGGGAGAAAAACCTGAACAATTTAAAGAACCGTAGGGGTGTGTGGTAAGACGCATCTTGGACTGAGACTCCAGATTTAGCTGAAGCAAGAGCACTGAGCTGCTCTGAGCAGTGGGGTTTGGCTGCTTTTCCTGCCGCTTGGCGTGGAATAGAAATCGCTTTTATTTATGTAAGCATTGCGGAAGAGCAAGTGGCGATGCTTCGAGCAACTGCTAACATTCAGCGGAAGTCGGTTCCAGAGAGATTGGCAAGGCACTACACATACAGTTATGCCGCGCTTGGAAGAGTTGGGCCCCATCTGCACTTAAAGCAGTATCGTGCCACTTTAAAAGTAATGGCTTCCCCTCAAAGAATCCTGGGAACTGTAGTTTAAGGACGCTGAGAGTTCCAAGGCGACCCCTGTTCCCCTCACAGGGCTACAGTTCCCCAAGTGGTTTAACAATCAATCTGTTTTCCCAAACTACTCTGGAAATTGTAGCTCTTGTTGTTGTTGTTTAGTCGTTTAGTCATGTCCGACTCTTCGTGACCCCCTGGACCAGAGCACGCCAGGCACTCCTGTCTTCCACTGCTTCCCGCAGTTTGGTCAAACTCATGTTGGTAGCTTCAAGAACACTGTCCAACCATCTCGTCCTCTGTCGTCCCCTTCTCCTTGTGCCCTCCATCTTTCCCAACATCAGGGTCTTTTCCAGGGAGTCTTCTCTTCTCATGAGGTGGCCAAAGTATTGGAGCCTCAGCTTCAGGATCTGTCCTTCCAGTGAGCACTCAGGGCTGATTTCCTTCACAATGGATCGGTTTGATCTTCTTGCAGTCCTTGGGACTCTCAAGAGTCTCCTCCAGCACCAGAATTCAAAAGCATCAATTCTTCAGCGATCAGCCTTCTTTATGGTCCAGCTCTCACTTCCATACATCATTACTGGGAAAACCATAGCTGTAACTATACGGACCTTTGTTGGCAAGGTGATGTCTCTTAGCACCCTTTAAAGGTAAAGGGACCCCTGGCCATTAAGTCCAGTTGCGGACGACTCTGGGGTTGCGGCGCTCATCTCGCTTTACTGGCCGCTGGAGCCAGCGTTTGTCCCCAAACAGCTTCCGGGTCATGTGGCCAGCAGGACTAAGCCGCTTCTGGTGAACCAGAGCAGCGCACGGAAACGCCGTTTACCTTCCTGCCAGAGCAGTACCTATTTATCTACTTGCACTTGACGTGCTTTCGAACTGCTAGGTTGGCAGGAGCTGGGACAGAGCAACAGGGAGCTCACCCCGTCACGGGGATTCGAACCGGCGACCTTCTGATTGGCAAGTCCTAGGCTCTGTGGTTTAACCCACAGCACCACCCGCATCCCCGTAGCCCCCTTAGCAAACCACATCTCTCAAAATTATTTGGGTAAAGCCATGACTATTTAAGGTTGTAGGATACTTATTGGTCAGACTTGGAGGAACAAAATGAGGGGGATCAGAGGCCTGCATCCCCAAGAGAGGGGTGTGTGTGAGAGAAACAGACAATTCCAGTATGTGAGATTCTTCTTTCTTTAGCGATCACTCTTAGCTGAGTAAGATTGTCTTCCGTGAGCGTGGTCTAAACATTGTCTCCGCAGGTGACTGCGGAGGCCAAGTCTAGATCCACACGTCCTTCCACAGTGGGGACACAGGTTTCCGGGCAGGAGTTGATCATAGTGAGGGTTTGCCAAATGTGCCTTCCTCTTGGCACATTTCTCCCTTTCGTCCTGAGTTCGAGAGTCTTCAAAGCCCATGACACCTTTGGTAAAGGCTGTTCTCCAATTGGAGCGCTCGCAGGCCAGTGTTTCCCAGCTCACTGGCAGAAGAAGAGGGGGGTGGGGGTGCCATCGCGGCTGCCCCCCACCCATGCTGGGCGCCACGCCCCCACAGGTGTTGCTCCACGCCTGCTCTCTGCCCCCACCCCCCCGGTGCCGGAGCATAAAGCTCTGCCACTGTCCCAGCTGTCTGTGTTTATGCTACATTTTTTTAGGTTTGCCTTGAGAGCGTCTTTAAACCTCTTTTGTTGTCCACCGGCATTACACTTTCCATTCTTAAGTTAGGAATAGAGTAGTTGCCTTGGAAGGCGATCATCGGGCATCCGAACCACATGACCAAGTCAATGAAGTTGATGCTGAAGAATCATTGCTTCGACACTCAGCATCTCCCTCCTGCCACTCATCATTTTCTCTTGCAGTTTACTCTTGCAGATACTTCTGTCCTTTGCATAGGATGCTAGTTTCTGTACACACACTCCTGGCAAGCGAGAAGCCTCATCAGAGTTTGAGGACACAGTCCAGCCAGGCAAAAACACTCCTCTGGAAGACCAATGGGGCTATGTGGCTTAAGGAGAGCCACCGAGTTCAGAGAGAGAGAACTGGCGAGGCTGCATTTGGTCATTGAGCCAGAGGCTTCCCATCCCAGCTTTAGCGTAATAAGGAAAACACCCACGTCTTCACAGGTGTGGATTGATTAGACCAGGCACGTCCAACAGGTAGATCATGATCTATCAGTAGATCATTGGACGTCTGTGGTAGATCACTGATAGATCATGGGCTCCCCCCAATGAAGCTCCACAGTTACAGCCTGCACCTTCAAAAAACGGGGCTTTCCTCTTCCCTAAAAAAAGCTTAATGGCAAGAGCAGCTAGACAATGGAATATAGAGGGTACATAGGAAGTGGAGGGATACCAGATTAGACAATTGGTTCAACCATATCATAGGGACACGGGTGGCACAGTGGTCTAAACCACTGAGCCTTGTGGGCTTGCCGATCGGAAGGTTGAGGGTTCGAATCCCTGCAATGGGGTGAGGTCCTGTTGCTCTGTCCCAGCTCCTGCCAACCTAGCAGTTCAAAAGCACAACAGCGCAAGTAGATAAATAGGTACCGCTCCGGCGGGAAGGTAAACAGCATTTCCGTGCGCTCTGGTTTCCGTCAACGGTGTTCCATTGCGCCGGAAGCAATTTAGTCCTGCTGGCCACATGACCCAGAAAGCTGTCTGTGGACAAACGCCGGCTCCCTCAGCCTGAAAGCAAGATGAGCGCCGCACCCCATAGTCACCTTTGACTGGACATAACCATCCAGGGGTCCTTTACCTTTTACCTTTACCTATACCCAGTGTGGGTTTTTTTCTGGGGGGACACAGGAGAATGCATACCCCTAAACATTTTGTGCATCTAAGATCTACTGTTAGATCCCCAGGAGGTTTTGGTAGATCGCGGTTGATCGCTGGGTCCCTTTCCATTATTGAATTATAATCCTGCCTGCCCCCATGGCCCACCCTCCATGATCTGCAGAATGGAAGGCGGAGTATACTGATCTGTTGGTGAGTGCCTGTTCCCCTTCTTCCCTAAAAAAAAATCAACAACTTTGCCTTTAACTCACAAAAAACGGGGCTTTCCACCTTCCTAAAACACGCTCAACAACTTTGACCTGAACCCCCAAAAAGGGGGTCAACCACTGCCAGTTTATAACTCTGTGTGTAGATCGCAGTCTCCTGGAAGTTGGCCACTCCTGGATTAGACTATATCCCATAATGATTTTGGGGTCAAACCCTTTACCCGAAAATGGGGATCGTCCAATAGGGAATGGCTCCCTCGCTCAGACACTCTCAGAAGAGTCTACTACCTTTTCTTGATGGCTTTTAAAACCACAGTTAGGTTGGGAAATGATCCATAATGAATTGGGGGGGGGGAATGTTAAAGTACTTTCCTCCCCTCAAAACAGAGTCCTTTCTGATTGGGGATAATTCAGACAGAAATTCCCAGGTGTCGAAAAAGGTTATTTATGTATACCGCTACTGCAGCCCGTGTTTTGTTAGCCCCAAAATGGAAAACGAGCAAGGTTCCAACCAAAAAAGAAGGACAACTGAAGTTGACAGAATATGCCAAACTCACAGACTTAACATGCAGAACAAGAGAACAAGAACAACATACATGCAGAGAAGATTAGGAAACGTTTATTGAATATATGGGAAATAATTGTGTACAGCTGAAAATGCTGGCAGCATTAAGATAAATTCAATGGTGTAAATAAGTTTTGATCGATGCAATAATGGAGTACTGAATGGTATAGTTTTTGTAAAATATGCAGGGATTTATGATATGTATAATGAACCATGGAACGAGAAGGGAAGATATCCTCAAGATATCTACATCTTAAGGATGTTAAATGAATACTTTAAATTGTAAAGCAGAAAATTATACACACACACACACACACACAGTGGTCAGTGGTACCTCGGGTTAAGTGCTTAATTCGTTCCGGAGGTCCGTTCTTAACCTGAAACTGTTCTTAACCTGAAGCACCACTTTAGCTAATAGGGCCTCCTGCTGCTGCCGCGCCGCCGGAGCACGATTTCTGTTCTCATCCTGAAGCAAAGTTCTTAACCTGAAGCACTATTTATGGGTTAGCGGAGTCTGTAACCTGAAGCGTATGTAACCCGAGGTACCACTGTATACACACACACACACACACACACACCTAAAACCAAAGTTAGAGCACTAGGCTGTTCTCATGTTCACTCTCTTATCTTTCAGACCGTCAAAATCCATCTGGAGATGTCCTCTCCTGAAATTGCTTCTCTCTCTTGGGGCCGGATGACTGTCAAAGGCTGTTCCACAACTTACAAGGACTGTAAAGTCTGGCCTGGGGGCAGTCGGACTTGGGACTGGAGAGAGACGGGAACTGACGTACGTGCCTTTGCTCACCCTCTTCTTAGTTATCTGGGGGCCACTTGAGTATTGTAGACTTGGGCTGCAGCTACACAGCTATAAAAACGCTCTGAAAACACTCTGAAAAAACCCTGTTTTCATAGAGTTCCAATTTCAGCTTCCCAAGCCTCCCTCCCGCCGCACGCTCTTTAAAGAGCGCACCGCTCTTGGGGGCTTTCCCCCAAGGATGGACAAGGGACTGACTGGCCGTTTCAGTCCCTTCTCCCTCCTGGTCGAAAAGCCTCCAGGAGTCACGTGCGGCTCCTGTGGGCTTTTGCGGGAGGTGGGGGAATTCCGCCACCTCCCACAAAAGCAGGGAGAACGTCCTGGGGTAGCGCACAGGCTGCAGGCAGCCTGTCCGCTGCTCCCAGAGCTGCAGGGGTGGGGGTCATATTTTTTCCTTGATTTCCCCCCCCCCGAAAACTAGGTGCGCCCTACAGTAGTCCTATTTGGGCCAGCGAGGAGACCAGGGGAGAATTAGCTGTGGGATCCCAGAGCGGGTAATCTTCATAAAAAGGGGAGGGGGAGGGAAGGAAGGGGAATAAGAGATCAGGCTAAGTTCAAATTGAAAGCCAGGCGAAAATAGCTGTTTACTTGGCCGTTTTCCTATGTCGTGAAAGCTGAAATTTCCATTCACTGGAGCAGGGTCAAGATATTAACTGATATGCATGAAATTTCAGATATAGCTATATAATCCCTAGTTCATTAAGATAAGACCTTTGGAGCAGGCCTTTTTTTTAAAAAAAAAAAGTTTTTTATGAACTGCCCTAATGTGCTGTGGGTTTCGTCTAAAACTATAGAATAGACCTTCGCAGCAGTGGGGGTGGGGGGGATAGAGGAAGGGAAATTTCTCCCTGTTTTCACAGCAGCTACTATTTTTTACTTTAAATAATTTTTTTAAAAAGAACCCTCAGCTGCCGCAGCTCTCATAAACTCCGTTATCTCCCTCTGCCCCTTCAGACTGACCAGTTCCAATTTGGGGTGCCCACTTCAGCTCACCTCAAGGTCCTATATTCTAAACGACTATGGCCAATATCTGGGTTCTCCCCCCCCCCTTTCTCCCTGTAAAAGAAAATAAAAATACTGTTTTGCTAAAACATCACACACACACACACACACACACACACACACACACCACATACACACAAACATCAGGTCTTTTGTGCTGCCTGGAAATAAAATCCTCTTTTTCTTCCTCTTTCACGGCACCGCTGTTTCCAGAGCGCTCCTTGCTGGCAGCAGAACCTTTCAACCAGCCAATTATTGTAATTACAGTAAACCCAGACCTCCTTTTTCTTTTGTTGGGGTTGTCATGTGACCAACCATTAAAAGTGTTCCAGAGTGTTTGGGGCTGGGCTTTTTTTAAAAAAGCTACGGGGAAGAAAAACCTCTCTCTCCCTCCTTCCGTCTGCCAGGCAAATCACAATTTGAATTATCCTGCATGCCTGTCCTCTTCCCTGCTGCCCGTTGCAAAGATAATTTGTCCCCAGCTGGGTTAAACCAAGTGAATTTACCGCTTTCACAACTGCGGTCCAGCCGTAGCAAGTTGGGGGGAAATAAAAAGGTAAAGGTAAAGGTACCCCTGCCCGTACGGGCCAGTCTTGACAGACTCTAGGGTTGTGCGCCCATCTCACTCAAGAGGCCGGGGGCCAGCGCTGTCCGGAGACACTTCCGGGTCACGTGGCCAGCGTGACAAGCTGCATCTGGCGAGCCAGCGCAGCACACGGAACGCCGTTTACCTTCCCGCTAGTAAGCGGTCCCTATTTATCTACTTGCACCCGGGGGTGCTTTCGAACTGCTAGGTTGGCTGGCGCTGGGACCGAACGACGGGAGCGCACCCCACCACGGGGATTCGAACCGCCGACCTTTCGATCGGCAAGCCCTAGGCGCTGAGGCTTTTACCCACAGCGCCACCCGTGTCCCACCACCACAGCATTCCCCCCCATTTCCGTGGGGGGAAATACTTGACCGCAAAAAGGCCTTATCTGGGAGGCGGATAAAATGTCAATGATGCCTACCTGCACCTTGAACGAAACCACCCATTTGGACAGGAGCCATTAGTTCTTAGGCCGCAGGGCAGTTACGAAACAAAAAACGCTGCGAAGCTTCTGTCGGAAGCTAAAAATAGTCTGGCAAATGCTCAGAAGTCTATTTGGAACAGCTGTGCATTGTGTGCAAACGTCTTGTCTGCAAACTTCACAGACCGTGGATGGCTGCCAGCCGTCCACTTATTATGCAGATTTAAGTTACGAATTGCAAGTTTAGCAGAAGTAACAACTGAAATGAAAAGGACATGTCTGTCTGCCTTTGTTGTTGTTGTTTAGTCATGTCTGACTCTTCGTGACCCCATGGACCAGAGCACGCCAGGCACTCCTGACTTCCACTGTCTCCCGCAGTTTGGTCAAACTCATGCTGGTAGCTTCAAGAACACTGTCCAACCATCTCATCCTCTGTCGTCCCCTTCTCCTTGTGCCCTCCATCTTTCCCAACATCAGGGTCTTTTCCAGGGAGTCTTCTCTTCTCATGAGGTGGCCAAAGTATTGGAGCCTCAGCTTCAGGATCTGTCCTTCCAGTGAGCACTCAGGGCAGATTTCCTTACGGATGGATAGGTTTGATCTTCTTGCAGTCCATGGGACTCTCAAGAGTCTCCTCCAGCACCAGAATTCAAAAGCATAAATTCTTTGGCGATCAGCCTTCTTGATGGTCCAGCTCTCACTTCCATACATCGCTACTGGGAAAACCATAGCTTTAACTATATGAACCTTTGTCGGCAAGGGGATGTCTCTGCTTTTTAAGATGCTGTCTAGGTTTGTCATCGCTTCTCCCAAGAAGCAGGCGACTTGTAATTTTGTGACTGCTGTCACCGTCTGCAGTGATCAGATGTCTGACTTAGTATACCAAAACACCTCTTACCCTCATAAAGTTCTTAATGTTGAGTAAAAAAATCTCCTTTCTTATAACTCCCTTCAGGGCAGAAAATAAGCTTGCTCCATCTTCCATGTGGCAGTTCTTTAGATATTTGAAGAAGACTAAACATAATAACAATAACAATAACAATTATTATTATTTATACCCCGCCCACCTGGCTGGGTTTCCCCAGCCACTCTGGGTGGCTTTCAACAGAATATTAAAATATAATAATCTATTAAATATTAAAAGTTTCCCTAAACAGAGCTGCCTTCAGATATCTTCTAACAGTCTGGTAGTTATTTTTCTCTTTGACATCTGGTGGGAGGGCGTTCCACAGGGCGGGTGCTACTACTGAGAAGGCCCTCTGCCTGCTTCCCTGTAACTTGGCTTCTCGCAGCAAGGGAACCGCCAGAAGGCCCTCGGAGCTGGACCTCAGTGTCCGGGCTGAACGATGGAGGTGGAGACGCTCCTTTAAGTATACTGGACTGAGGCCATTTAGGGCTTTAAAGGTCAGCTCCAACACTTTGAATTGTGTTCGGAAATGTACTGGGAGCCAATGTAGGTCTTTCAAGACTGGTGTTATGTGGTCTCGGCGGCCGCTCCCAGTCACCAGTCTAGCTGCCACATTCTGGATTAGTTGTAGTTTAAGTGTCACCTTCAAAGGTAGCCCCACATAGAGCGCATTGCAGTAGTCCAAGCGAGAGATAACCAGAGTATGCACCACTCTTCATACACAACTCCTTCAACTGTTCTTCATAAGGCTTGGTTTCCAGACCCTGGATCATCTTGGTTGCCCTCCTCTGCAAACGCTCCAGCTTGTCAACACCCTTCTTAAATTGTGGCGCCCAGAACTGGACACAGGGCTCCAGGCAGGTTGTAACCAAGGTGGAACAGAGCCTTATTATTTAACGCCTTTCCCTTTACTTCCAAATGCAGCATGTTCCAGGCGTGCAGCCCGCAGATGTGGAAGAAGTTGTTCGGAAGGGCGCCAAGACGTTAGTGATCGGCCGTGGCATGAGCGAAGCCTTGCAGGTACGTTTGCGAGGCATGGTGGGACTGGGAGTCTGGTTGCAAAATTCAGAATCCAGCGGGGGGGTCTGGTGGCATTCCAGCACCTATTATTGGAGGTCCTGCATAGCATTCTATTGCCAGCCAATTGACAGTAGCTAAGTATTATTCTAGGGACACGGGTGGCGCTGTGGGTTAAACCACAGAGTCTAGGACTTGCCGATCAGAAAGTTGGCGGTTCGAATCCCCGCGACAGGGCGAGCTCCTGTTGCTCGGTCCCTGCTCCTGCCAACCTAGCAGTTCGAAAGCACGTCAAAGTGCAAGTAGATAAATAGGTACCGCTCTGGCAGGAAGGTAAACAACGTTTCCGTGCGCTGCTCTGGTTCGCCAGAAGCGGCTTAGAAATGCTGGCCACATGACCCAGAAGCTGTACGCTGCCTCCCTTGGCCAATAAAGCAAGATGAGCGCTGCAACCCCAGAGTCGGCCATGACTGGACCTAATGGTCTGGGGTCTCTTTACCTTTAAGTATTATTCTAGATTTATTCATGAATAATACAGGGAACCCCTGATTATATTCCAGGTCTCCCTGTGTGTAACCGAAGTCGCATATATTGGCAGCACCCTGGAGGGGCAGCAGGACTTGCATAGCTGACATGCAGGGAACTTTCTTCCTTGAACACCAGCTAAGATGGTCAACAAAGACCAGGCAGCAGGATTTATGATTTTATTGTTTGATCTTATGCTTTAATATTGTTTTAAGTCACTGCAATATATTTTTATGATACAGTGGTATATAAAAAAATTTTATAGGTAAATAAAACTAAGAGTTTTCAGGAGGTGTTTAATACCTGTGCAGGGACGCGGGTGGAGCTGTGGGTTAAACCACAAAGCCTAGGGCTTGCTGATCAGAAGGTCAGCGGTTCGAATCCCCGCGACAGGGTGAGCTCCCGTAGCTCGGTCCCTGCTCCTGCCAACCTAGCAGTTCAAAAGCACGTCAAAGTGCAAGTAGATAAATAGGTACCGCTCCGGCGGGAAGGTAAACAGTGTTTCCGTGTACTGCTCTGGTTCGCCAGAAGTGGCTTAGTCATGCTGGCCACATGACCCGGAAGCTGTACGCCGGCTCCCTTGGCCAATAAAGGGAGATGAGCGCCGCAACCCCAGAGTCAGCCACGACTGGACCTAATGGTCAGGGGTCCCTTTACCTTTTACCTTAGTGCAGCTAACTCTGACAGCTAGCCTGGGTTCAAAATGATGCCCAGGTTCCAACTATGTGGGAATGGCTATGGGAATGTCTAGAACTAGCTGAAACAGACAAGAGATTGGACAGATTTGATTCCTAAGAGGAACGGCATGTTTTATGGCACAAAGTCTATTGAAAGTTGGGTGGTTGGTTTTTTGCAAATTTTGGAAACATTAGACTTGAACGTCATTTATTTATGTGACGTGTGATCTATGCATACAGGTGGCAACCTTTTCGGTGGACGAGGGTTCTGCCCCATTCCAGGTCCAAAGGGACTAGGGGCTGGGGCGCTATCTGGTTTTCAGCATCGCAATATATCATCAGCTAAACATCACAGTATACTGATACAACCCGGAAGTGTTTCTCCACACGCACTTACGCAGAAGCGGTCTACTGCTTCTCCTCAGGTTGCAAAAACCTCGGGATCTAGCCGGACCTCCGGAACGGATCCCATTCACAACCGGAGGTACCACTGTATATACAGTCATGCCTTGGCTCCTGAACGCCTTGGGAGTTGAACGTTCCAGCTCCCAGATGATCGAAACCTGGAAGTGAGTGTTCCAGTTTTTGAACATTCTTTCGTAAGCAGAACGTCCGACAGGGCTTCCGATTGGCTGCAGGAGCTTCCTGCAGCCAATCAGAAGCCGCACTTTGGTTTTTTAACGTTTCGGAAGTCAAACGGACTTCCGGAACGGATTCTGTTTGACTTCCAAGGTACGACTGTATATCACGATGTCTGAAATAAGGATGGCACTATGCAGAGGCATCGGCTGGCTTCATGGTTTTTCCCGCATTGTGATTTCAGCCAACACCTGCTCTTGTGATTTGTGCTCCCTGCAGGAGGCAGGGAGAGAGCTGAGTCGGCAGAGTTCACAGGGGCTGCAGGAATTGAGAGAAGCATCGGCTTGGCTTCACGGTTTTCCCCACATTGTGATTTTTGCATAACACACACACATCATGATACGTGATATATTGCCTGGCCCAAAATTATGAAAGTGATACTGTGGTACCTCAGGTTACATACACTTCAGATTACAGACTCCGCTAACCCAGAAATAGTGCTTCAGGTTAAGAACTTTGCTTCAGGATGAGAACAGAAATCGTACAGTGGCTACGTAGCGGCAGCAGGAGGCCCCATTAGCTAAAGTGGTGCTTCAGGTTAAGAATAGTTTCAGGTTAAGAACAGACCTCCAGAACGAATTAAGTACTTAACCCGAGGTACCACTGTATTACGATAGGGACTTCAGGCTGGTTTGGGACAATATATTGATATACTGCCCAGCCCTAAAAAGGACTTGCACATCGGCAGTTGTGAATCGATTGGATGTGCGCAAAACGGTCGCTGTGTATATTTCAAAGTAGAAAAAAGAGAAAAGGAGCCGCTAACTGGGTTTCATGCATGTTAGCAATGAAGTTACAGCTTGTGTGCAAGAAGAGACTCCTCCCTGACTCCTTTCTCTTCCTGATTTCTCAAGGTGCCGTCATCCACCGTGGACTACCTGAAGAGCCAAGGGATCGATGTGCTGGTCCTGCAGACGGAAAAAGCTGTGAAAGAGTACAACGCTTTGGCCAGCAAAGGGGCCAAAGTGGGTGGGGTCTTCCATTCCACCTGCTAGAGCAAATGTCCCCAACTTGGTGTCCCCCAGATGATTTGGGTTCCAGCTCCCATGAGCCCCTGTGAGGCTCTCTGCGGGCACCAGGTTGGCAAAGCCTGCTTAGAGAGATGAAGCCACCTCTCCCTTTCCACCGTCTTGTGCCTTCATGTGAATAAAAGAGAGCACTTTTGGGTCAGCAGGCAGTCTGTATGCGTTGCTGTGTGCCAAGTCTTGAAAGCTTTCAAAACGAAACAACGAATGCTGAATTTCACTAGCGTAGGAGTCAAAAGGTTTAAAAGTGGGCAGCAGTCGTGAAGCCACACAGCCTTGCAATTTCAATCCTTTCAGTTCAGGATTCCTGAACATTAAAGAGTTTTGCTGGATCAGGCCAATGGCCCATCTAGTCCAGTATCGCATCCTCCCCACCTGCTGAATTTCCGCCTGTTAGACAAATGGTCTAGAATCTTGGAGCTCTGGGCAGACAGGCAAGACCAGGAAGCTAATCAAGCCATAGGCGAGCTGCCTTTGGCTGCCCATTGTGAGGTTTCTTTAATGCAGAGCTGTGCAGGATTGCAGTATCAGGGATATTTGGCTTCAGGCAACATCACATTCGCTCCAAGTGTTTTAAGGACATGTTTTTTGTTGCAGTGTAGTAACACATGCTAGCAGTTCAAAAGCACATCAAAGAGCAAGTAGATAAATAGGTACCGCTCTGGCAGGAAGGTAAACGGCGTTTCCGTGCGCTGCTCTGGTTCGCCAGAAGCGGCTTAGTCCTGCTGGCCACATGACCCGGAAGCTATACACCGGCTCCCTCGGCCAATAAAGCGAGATGAGCGCCTCAACCCCAGAGTCGGTCACAACTGGACCTAATGGTCAGGGGTCCCTTTACCTTTAGTAACACATGCAGTTGACCAGCAGGGGAAGTTTTAAGTCTGTCTGTCTCAAATCTGTAGTCCAACTACAGCTGGGGACCCAACTCCCATCATCCCTAGCTGGCAAGACCAGTGGTCAGGGATGATGGGAGTTGTAGTCCAACAACATCTGGGGACCCAAGTTTGAGAAACACTGCTTTAAGTTAATGGTAGAGTGGGAGTCTGCTCTGGGGATGTGGGAATAACATGTCCATTTATGCCTTCAGATGTCGGGGTCAACCTGCTTGACCAGAGGGCCCCACTATTTAAACTGCTAGTCCGTTCCATACCTGGATAACTGGGTGCAGATGTTTATTATTACTTAAATGCATTTATAAAATAACCAAAATTGCACGGTTAACCAAAGGGATGTGGCTTGCAGCAGGCACCAGCTACCGTATTTTTCGCTCTATAGGACGTACTTTTCCCCTCCAAAAATTAAGGGGAAATGTGTGTCCTATGGAGCGAATGCAGGCTCCTTGGCTTCAGCGATAGCAATGCGAAGCCTCCAAAGCGGAGAGGGAGCGCTCCCTCCGCACTCCGGAGGCTTCGCGTTGCTTACGCTGAAGCCTGGAGAGCGAGAGGGATCGGTGCGCACCAACCCCTCTCGCTCTCCAGGCTTCAGGGATAGCCACCTGAAGCCTTTGGAGCACAGCGGGAACTTGCGCTGAGCTCCGAAGCCTTTGGGTTCCTTTTGCTGAAGCCAGGAGAGCAAGACTCTCCCGGCTTCAGCAGAGAGGGAGAGCTGCACAGCGCCCCTTCAGCCAAGCAGGAGGAGAAATGGAAGGGGCTCCGTTTCTCCTGCCGCTTCGCTGAAGGGGCGCTGAGCAGAGAGGGGGAGAATTTTGTTTTCATGTTCTCCCCCTCTAAAACAAGGTGCGTCCTATGGTCGGGTGTGTCCTATAGAGCGAAAAATACAGTACATTGCGAGGCACAGTGGCACATGTTAAAAAGTCAGAGAGCCTTGAATAAATTAATGGCGGTCCCAACGGCAGGAGAGGCTATGAACCACACTTTTAAGATAAGGGAGTTGTTCTCAAGGACGACTGCTGTAGACAGTTATCAGCTCATAGGAAAAGAACTGTCCCTTCCCAATTTAATATATATATACAGCAGGCACAGAGAAATAATCGGCTCTGGGACTTTTCTCAATGGAGGATGCCAGGAGCCCTTGGCTGTTGTTGAACCACTGCCCACAACATCCTGCCAGCCATGTGTTTCCTCCTCAATCGGAGGCCAGCCTGTGGCCTCTGTGAGTTTTGGAAAGTGTGGAAGAGTCCTTGGCATGGCTGAGGACGCTTCTCACGAACCCCTTAGCAGCACTGGAGCACCCAGAAAGCCTTCTGTGTATTCGCAGCAGCTCTGACGATCAGTCAGATGGGAAGCAAGTTTGTTGGTCGATTCAATCCGGGGGCCTCTCAATTTCTGCCAGCCAGGAAACATTTCAAGACAAAACCGCTCGATTTTAAGGGTGATTTCCTCCCCTTGCACCGCAGTCCCACCTTGATCTTCTGTGTGCATGTGCCAACCGAGCTTAGAAGGGTCTCAGATCTCCCGCAGGAATCGTATCAATAAAAAAAGGGTCCTTAAAAGGCAGCCATCACCGCCTGGCTGGCTTGGGCATGATGTAAACTTTGACAGGCTTGCTGAAAGGGATGGTTCCCTCGATGCCATTCTCAGCCTGGGGGGGCAGATCCAGACTGTCTCCCCAGGTGGTGCGCGAGAGCCTCGCGGATGTTTTGTTTCGATCCGAACCATACGCCAGCAACAGCCGCACTTCGATCTGACAGGGCTCTGGGGGTGTAAAAAGGGAGAGAGTTATAAGAAGCTAAGTAGCGTCCTGCCAGGTTAGACTACCTAGTCCGGCATCCTGCCTTCATAGTGGCTAACTAGATGCAACAGCACTCTCCCCCTCCTGTGGTTTCTGGCAGCTCCAGTGCAGACAGACTTAAGGTCAAAAGCAAAAGTTAGGTGCCCCGGCCTTAAACTACAGATTGTCTTTGGGCGCAACAAGCAGTATGGCAGGGGTGGGGGAACCTGTGGAACCTGAAGGAGCGTCTCCATCCCCATCGATCAGTTCCACTGAGGTCCAGCTCCGAGGGCCTTCTGGCGGTTCCCTCCCTGCGAGAAGTGAGGTTACAGGGAACCGGGCAGAGGGCCTTCTCGGTGGTGGCGCCCGACCTGTGGAACGCCCGCCCTTCAGATGTCAAGGAAATAAACAACTACAGTGGTACCTCTGGTTACATACTTAATTCGTTCCAGAGGTCCATTCTTAACCTGAAACCATTCTTAACCTGAAGCACTTTAGCTAATGGGGCCTCTGGCTGCCGCCACGCCGCTGCCGCACGATTTCTGTTCTCATCCTGGAGCAAAGTTCTTAACCTGATGTACTATTTCTGGGTTAGTGGAGTCTTTAAACTGAGGTACCACTATACCTGACTTTTAGAAGACATCTGAAGGCAGCCCTGTTTAGGGAAGTTTTTTATATTTGATCTTTTATCATGTTTTTAATATTCTGTTGGGAGCCGCCCAGAGTGGCTGGGAAACCCAGTCAGATGGGCAGGGTATAAATTGCTGTTGTGATTGTTGTTGTGTTGTCCACCTCCCATCATCCCTGTTTAGGCCATGCTCTCTGAGGCTGCTGGGAACTGGGAGTGCAATAATATCTGAAAGACTGTAGCTTCTCCATACATGAAGTACAGTCATACCTCATGTTACGTTTGCTTCAGGTTGCACGTTTTCAGGTTACGTCCCACAGCGACCCAGAAGTACCGGAAAGGGTTACTTCCGGGTTTCGCCGCTTGCACATGCGCAGATGCACAAAATGACGTCATGCGCAGAAGCGGCGAATCGCGACCTGCAGACGCGCATTGCATTCTGCTCATGTTGCAAATGGGCCTCCGGAACGCATCCCGTTCGCAACCAGAGGTACTACTGTACTGCCTCACAAACTTTAAATTATCCTGGTCTGGTTTGTTTTTTAACAAGCAATTGTCTATTGTCCTATATAAAATATAGCTCGAACCACATTGAAATCTTTCTCTAGCATTGAATGCAGGGCATTTTCTAGGAGACGGGCGGTTTATTCAACCAATCACATATCATGTGCCTTTTCTGGCGACTTGCTGCATTGGTTTCCGCCCGACGCCAGCAGTAGAAAGAAGCCACAGAACCCTTAAGGTTCTGGAAGTGCTCAAGCGAAACCTGCACCGTAAAGACTTCCCCGTGCAGAACCAAAGATCCACTGGATCCAGCATCCTCCTTACCTGTCCAGGCAGTGTGAGAGAGGTAAACCTGAGTAATTAACCGGTGCCTTCCAGGAGCGGGGTTTCGAAAGTCTGCCGGTTTAGGATGGATGAGCTGTGCCTGCCCGTCAGGGTATACAACCTAGAAGGGAAGAGAGGGATTTGTCAGTGCTGAGACACAGGGAGTCAGGAACACGGAAACCCCATGCAAACGTTACTCGCATTATGTAGGGCATAATTGTGTGCACACTGAAAGGGTGACGACGGCACAGTTTTCAGCCCAGCTTCCCCAAGGTAAGGGACTCTTCCGTCAACAATGCATCATGAGCTTCTTTGTGGCTCCCTGGAGTTTTTGCATTTGGTTTTCTTTGCAGATAACAATGTGCAAAACAGAGTTGCTGAAGCGAGAAGACCCCTCCCCCCAAACACACACCCGACACACACATCTAAAGGTAAAGGGACCCCTGACCATTAGATCCAGTTGCGGCTGACTCTGGCGTTGCGGCGTTCATCTCGCTTTATTGGCCGAGGGAGCCGGCGTACAGCTTCCGAGTCATGTGGCCAGCATGACTAAGCCGCTTCTGGCGAACCAGAGCAGCGCACGGAAACACCGTTTACCTTCCCGCTGGAGCGGTACCTATTTATCTACTTGCACTTTGACGTGCTTTCGAACTGCTAGGTTGGCAGGAGCAGGGACCGAGCAACGGGAGCTCACCCTGTCGCGGGGATTCGAACCGCTGACCTTCTGATCAGCAAGTCCTAGGCTCTGTGGTTTAACCCACAGTGCCACACATCTAGTGATGGGCAAATCTGTCCATTTCAGTTTCTCTCGTTTCCTTGTTTTTCCCGTCTTAAGTACACTCCACATTTCTACATCAGTTTGCCATTATTGTTTTTAAAGTCCTCGTGAAAATCAATCAGCATTTCAGTGTGCATTTCTGCTAATGGACACATTTCTGTGTGCAGTTTTGCCCAACATTTTTGCAAAGCTGTATACCTGAAGGAGCATCTCCACCCCCATCGTTCTGCCCGGACACTGA